TGAACGCGCAGGGAGTGTGAGCATGCAGGGCCCCGCTGGCAGGGAGTGTGAACGCGCAGGGAGTGTGAATGCGCACAGGGAGTGTGAATACGCAGGGAGTGTGAACACGCAGGGTCCCGCTGGCAGGGAGTGTGAACGCGCAGGGAGTGTGAACGCGCAGGGAGTGTGAACACGCAGGTAGTGTGAACGCGCAGGGAGTGTGAGCGCGCAGGGAGTGTGAGCGTGCAGGGAGTGTGAACGCGCAGGGAGTGTGAGCGCGCAGGGAGTGTGAGCGCGCAGGGAGTGTGAGCGCGCAGGGAGTGTGAACGCGCAGGGAGTGTGAACGCGCAGGGAGTGTGAACACGCAGGGCCCCGCTTGCCTAGGCGGGAGACCCCTCCGCTGCTCCTTTGCCCCGTTGTCACTTCATTCATGTGGCTGTTTGTTCCTCGCGCCTGCTCTCTGCCAGGCGCTGATCGTGACCTGAGTTTTGGTGGTGAACTCCATACTAGAAATGTTCAGCAAAGGCCAAGAAGAGGGTGCCGATAGTCTCAGACCCCGGGCCTGCCTCTGCAGCAGAAGCTGGGCTGCAGCGTGGGCCCTCGGGCCGTCGGGAGACGCAGACGCAGAGCCGGGGCAGCCCGCTCGGGAGCTGGCCCCTCCGGGAGACGCTTGGCAGGCGTCAGACCCCTTGTCTTCTGTGCCGTGTTGAGGCCACAGAAGCAGCTGTGGTTGTGCAGAGTTTGGCAGCTGAGCGCGTCTCTGGGTAAAAATATGAAGAGCTTTTGGAATCAAGATGGGCCCTGAAGCCGGGTGCCGGTGGCTCACACCAGTCATCCTACAGGAGGCTGAGATCTGAGGATCGCGGTTCAAAGCCAGCCCGGGCAGGAACGTTCCTGACAATCTGATCTCCAATAAACCACTCAGAAAACTGGAAGTGGCACTGTGGCTCAAGTAGTAGAGTACTTACCTTGAGCTGAAGAGCTGAGGGACAGCGCCCAGACCCAGAGTTCAAGCCCCACGACCAAAAAAGAAAAACCAAACCTGAAATCCAGGCTCAGGTCCGATCCTGATATGGGTGAGGCCAGCCATGTGCAGGGGCAGGGTCGCTATGTGACCCCTGGGCAGCCTGGCTCTGCAGACCCCCGTGCGGTGCCCCAGGCCCACACAGGGAGCCGCAGCGGGGTGTCCCCACCGCCGTGGGCACTGGGTGACCATTCCAGGTCTCTTCCAGCTGCGGCGGTCAGGGCGCAGGGAAGAGCATGCTGAGGTGACAGACAGCACCGCAGTCTGCCGAGGGGCGGGTGTCACCACCTGGCCGGGGTGGCGGGCAGCACTGGGCCGCGCCAGGCCCTGCCAGGCTTCACCTGCCTCACACCTGTCCACCCTTCATCTCACGACTGGTGAGGGGCCCAGAGGAACAAGATGGCTGTGCCCGGGGAACAATGCGGGATTGAGGGCCCTTGCTCACGCGGCGTGAGGCTGAATGGTGGCTGTGCCGGGGGAAAGTGCGGGCAGGCAGAAGGGCGGCTAGTGTTCCGGCATCTTCTGTTACACTCCGGCCTTTCAAAGAGCGTCTGGGCTGCTGAATGCACCTCCCTCCCGCTCCGAGCCGGCATCCCGACACAAAGGAGGCTCTTGTCCCACACAGGCCCCTTCAGCGAAGAAAAGCCATTGTCCCGAGCCGGACCGCCCGGCAGGCGGTGCATGCCCCACTGCCCACCGCCGCGCCCGCGGGAGAGGGCCGCATTCAGGCCTGTCCGCCCAGATTAGCAAGGACTCACGACTCAATGTGCTGCGATATTTCATGTTGAGGGCAGGATGAATGCCTGCTTTTGTCTGCAGAGTTATTTTATTTACATTTTTTAAACAGCTTATCAAGGTAAAAAGATAGCTTTGCTAAAAAAAAAAAAAATCCCCGCTGGCTCCAGGCCCACTCAGAGGTGGGGCTGTGTGGGCTCCGAGGCCCTGGGCCATGGAGTCCGGGCCTCTGGCCAGCCTCCCGTCCTTCTCACGGGGCCTCTGGGAAACCACAGGGCCGTTGCCCCACAGCCTCTGGGTTGGCTTGGCTTTCCCCCGAAAGCCACACTCCTCTGCCCATCTGACCAGAACTTTCCTGGGCACTCCCTGCCTGCCATCTGAACTGCCCAGTGCCCCCTCGTCGTCCACCTCTGCCACCCCCAGGGCAGCACTGGTCCGGAAGGCAGGCCAGTGCCGTGGCTGGTCTCAAAGCCCCGCCCCGCCCCACTGCCCCTGCTCCTGGGTGTGGATGAGGGTGTGGGCGGTCACATGTCACCGGGCAGGCAGGTGACCGGCCTGAGACCCTGGGCTGCCACTCAACCAAGGCTGGGATGTGTGCAGTGCAACGTGTGCATGCTCCGGCCAGTGTGCATGCTCCGGCCAGTGTGCATGCTCCGGCCAGTGTGCATGCTCCGGCAAGTGTGCATGCTCCGGCCAGTGTGCATGCTCCAGCAAGTGTGCATGCAGCCGGTAAGTCTGGGGCCAGAAGTGCGTGTGCGGCCAGGAAGTCTGCATGCAACAGGAAGTCCATGTGCAGCCAGGACACCTGCGGCCAGGAAGTGCGTGTGTGTCTGGGAAGTCTGCATGCACCAGGAACTGTGCATGCACTGGCAAGTGTGCATGCAGCTGGGAAGTCTGGGGCCAGGAAGTGCGTGGGTGGCTGGGAAGTCTGCATGCACCAGGAACTGTGCGTGTGGCTGGGAAGTCTGCGGGAAGTCCGCATGCCGCAGGAAGTGCGCGTACAGCCCGTCTGCCATCATCTCAGAGAGGCTGCTGTACAGAGGGTCCGAAACCCACCCTAGACCCACAACCCTAGGCCCCGTAGCCCCAGCTTGAAGCTCTGGGACTGGGGTCCCAGAAGAGGTGTCCAGGCCGGCACAGCCTCCCGGCCATGCCCAAGTGGGGCCCAGCAGGCTCCTCCCCTAGCCTGGCGCACTGCCCAGCCCCAGGCCCACAGCAGCCCTGGGGCTACCGATACAAAATGTGGATGGAGGGCTTGGCCCGGGCGTAGGGACCTCCCATCGCCTCAGCCACAAGAGGGAAGCCTGTGTGCACGGCGTCTCTGCCCCCGGCTGCGTGGCCAGTGCTGCCCCATTTCTGGCCCTCTGCCAGCAACAGCCCACATGATGGAGGGGTCTGAGCTGCACACCGAGGGCACACAGCCCAGACCCCACTCTCCTGGGCGAGGAAGGTGCTGGGAGGCGCGCCGTCTTCCTCCACCTCCAGCAGCTTCCAGGGGAACGCTGAGACAGAAAAGGCCAGAGCCATCCTGTGAGCCGCCCCACACGGTGACCCCTGCACCCCCAGCCCTGGGCCCGGCCCGCAGCACCTCCCCCACCGAATACCCTCCACGATCACACCCCTCCATCCCACGTCCCGCATGGCCCCCCCAGCCCTGGGTCCGGCAGTGCCTGGTGAGACCGGTCTCATGGGCCCTGCCAGACTGCCGACGCCTGGCCAGCCAGAGGGAAGGCCTCAGCCCGTGTCCCCGCCGCGCCCCCAGGGCTGGACGCCCACAGGCCTTTCCCAGGCCGCTATTTTGGGCCTCTGTGAGCTGCCGGGGGCGGGGCCTGCTGCCCCGGGGGCTGACCTGCCGGTTATTCCTGCTCCTAATGGGAGCACAATATATAGAAATTATTAATAGCAGCTTGGGCCATGGGACGTGCGGGCAGTCAGGGCCTGGCGTTGGCGGCCCAGTGGTGGGAAGGTTTGTGCGTTTGAGCTGCCGTCCCCATTCCAAGGGTGTCCAGGCTGGGTCTGGCTGCGATCAGGGCAGCCATCAATCATTACCTCCAGGTTCTGTGAGAGCCTGGGGCTCCGTCCATCCAGGGGTCCCACGTCCACTCTGAGAGCCTGGGGCTCCGTCCATCCGGGGGTCCCACGTCCACTGTGAGAGCCTGGGGCTCCGTCCATCCGGGGGTCCCA